GACAGAAAATCAGAACCCAGAAATATGAGAGTGAGCCCCAGTCCCGAGCAAAACACTGTTCGGACTGGGCCAAGACGCTGGACGAACGCTGGTTGTTCAAACCGGAGTCAGGCCAAAGAAACGCAGAACAAAAGATGAAGATAATTATGAGTGATTAACACACACACATACGCAAAAAGCGGCCAGGGGCAGAAATCCATTGATGGGTCGACGCATAGAAACGATAGAAAGTAACGCCATGGCAATTTGGTTTATGGATAACTCACAAGCGACACGATGGCGGAAGATGCGGTACGACTCTTAAATGGATACGTGGAGGTCTTATGTCAAGATAGACGATAGTCACAACAGTTAAAAGAAACAACGGTGTACCATACTAGTGGCAACTCAGCGAACGGTTAAGCGCTTTGACAATTTGAAAAAAACGTGCAAAGGCGCAAACAAGGATGAACTCTTTTCCAACGGCGTGCCAATAAAGTGCGACGTTGGATGAACAAAGGTTCTTAATTATGAAGAGGCGGTACGGAGTATTAGGTGGTGGGCAAAATTGCAAGCAAACCATCGACCAACAAAGGCTTCATGGCCTGCCCTTTTTCATACTGAATATTATAGCGTCAAGCGTTGCAAGCAGTGGCAACCGCGACTGCCAATGGTACTATTCTTATTGATGCCCATCTGTCCGTCGGCCTGTTTATCGTTCTAACATCCATTTGGATTTGTCGAACAATAAAGTGTATGGGTGAGCAAGAAGATGCGCACGTTTCCCGGGTAAAAAGACAACGGTCTGAAAAAGGCAGCGCCGACAGCAACGCTAACCAGGCCGTATATACCAACGTTGGTCAACAGCGAACAGGGCCGTTGTGGTGATCTTGACGCATCTGTTTTTTTTTTTTTTTTTTTTTTTTTTTTTAGTAAACAACAATAATAATATTGTTCATGCAAGGCGATGCGTTTGTGCCATGCCGCGAGCGCGATCTCACGGCCATAGTGTCATATGCTCTGTGTTGAAGTAGTAGTTGTACGAAATTGAACCGACATGGCGTTTAAGCTGGCATGTCGTGCGTCTCCACTGATTGTTGTGGGTAGCAGTAGATCCTTGTCCGACACCGACCAAGTAATGCTTTAGAATATACCGCTTCATACAATGCTTGTCTCGAAATGATGCTAGCTATTATTACTATCACTGCTGTTCCAATTCCTGTATTCAAAATTACTGATATTGGACATGCCAGCTACTCGTTGGTGTCGCTTTTGAGCGGCTCTGCTGGGCTATTCAGAAAAGAGCGTCATGTTGTTATCTCATTATTTAGAGAAACAGAAAGACAAATAAATGCTGAATTAAACGCTAAGCCGGACGGTAAAGTAACGCCCGTAAAAGCATCGTCCCGGTTTACGTGAGCTCAAAATATCGGCAATATAAGCGATTTTTGTCTGCCGTAAACACCTGCCAATCCTACACAACAATGCAGACCTGTGTAACAGAGTTTGACAGTAACTATCACTTTCTACTGACTTTCAAACTAACTAAACTTGTGGTCAGTTCGGAGTGATAATGCTTGTCGCGGCTAAATATAAAAATATTAAACAGTTTGTGAAGATATTCCATGTTTCCAAATATCGATTGAAGCTGTTGTATTCGAAATACATCCTGGTGCTGTTTTATAACTATTGTCTATAGTAACCTAAATGTGGGAACGATTGTCAATCGATCATACCAAACACCAGTGTCTGTGTATCGATAAGTGTTTGTATACATATATATCGATTTATTTTTTATTTACTAAAGTGTGTAAATATTAGTAGAAATACTATAGTGCCTATTCAGTTGTGAGGAAAAAGAAAAAAGGAAAGTAACAGCCTGTGTGCAAGTTGATGGTTATGACCGTTTACTTTTACATACATTACTGGCCTTTATATATATATATATATAAAGCGGATAGGATTTAAGCAAAAAAAGAGATTTCGGCCACGCCAATATCGGAAGAATCTGCCGCTTCAAATAATGTTCGCTACCGGATGTAGGTTCCTGCAGTCATCACGTAAGTAATAAACCGTACGAACTCAATTTGTTCAATTCGGAATCACGCCAATCGATTTCTTTCGGAGTTGATGATTTTTGGGTGGTATGCCAACATGCTATCTAAGAAACGTTGATACCGCTCGTAAGGGTCGGCCCAATGAAATGATCCCGGGCGGAAGAAAAGCAAAAAATAGGTTACGAACAGCAGCGATGCACTGTTTAAATAGGCCCTCTTGCTGCTCGTGAAAGAAAGGCGCTGTGTTGTGGCAACGTTAACACTACCCCTTTTGATATATAGATAGCTTCGTATGTGGCCAAATACATAATATAGGGCTAAGGAAAAGGTACTCGCATCGCTTTATCGGTCTTCTTAACATAATTAACATTTGTTCACTATTATTCCTATGTATTAGTTCGTTGTTGAACTACAATAGCCATGTGGAATGGACGCCGGCTTCATCAATGACGAAAAATCACTATGGAAAAGAAAGCGTGTCACAGCTGATACCGCAAATGCCGTCTGCCTACTGTTTGTAGGGCCGATAAACGGATCATAGAAGAACGTTCTATAGACGAAGTCATAGAACTTTCTATTAGTTATGCATTCATAGCGCACGCGCATAATAGAAAATCATATGACGCAACTTTACAGCGGCCTAAGTAAAATTTGATGGATGCTATTGAGTTTAATTAATCCGGTTATAGTAAAACATTGCAATGGGTAAAAAGAAAAAGTCATCAATTATATATATGTGCGTGATGACACTGGGAACAGAGAAGCCTAAACTAGTTGGCAGCGAAACTTACCTTTACGGTTGTTATCAATTTCGATAATATATTGTGGCAAAAGATCTCTTCTGCTACAGAGCGAAACGTTGGGTCTGCAACTAACATGTGTATCTATCATCCCTGAGAATTACTAGAAAAAGAAACTGTCGTTTAGCATGATGCACCTTTTACTCACTATAGGACTGCAACTGTACAGAAATACCTAGAGTTTGATAGGTATGGGAAATTTACCTTTGGCCACGGTAAGCGGCAAAACGCGACTCCTGTGAATGGCCTGTGAATGTATTTGCGGCCAATAGTTTTAGGCTCATAACAGCGTTATGCTAGGCGAGTAGACATCGCGCCATCATAACCGGAAATTTCAAAAACGTTTTTTTTGTTGACAAGGCAGTACTACGAGGCTCTTGGCCTCGAGCGTCACTCAGACCTTAATAGGAGGGCGACAAAGCAGATAGAAGTCCTGCACTTGCCTACGCTAGCTGATGCGTGACATCTCGTTCCCGTGAGGATCTGCGCCCCTCAACGAAATCAGTGGCCCTAAGTTTCGTTGTAAAACCCAATAGACGTGTCGAAATGTATACGAAGCATTAGAACTACTCTCCGGCGTTGCTCTGCTTAATTGTGGGGACAGTATCTCTTCTCATATCTCTCTCGCCTCCTCATTCGATGATCAAATGGGCTCCCAGATAGAAAATTGGGTTGCCTCCGACCATTTTTACCTCCTTTTTCTCATGTAAATAGGTTGTACATTTGTGAAATAAACAAAACTCATCGAGCTTTTCCCTTCTGTGCTTTCGTTTACTCAAACATCCTCTCATTGTTCCTCGTGTCCACTGAAGCATCACGTAAGACTAGTGTGATTTTAATTAGCATCCAGATAGATGCATAGTATCGTGCTAATATCACTGTTAGAGTTTTTTCGAAAAAACAAAAAATAGTTTTTTGTCAGAGAATCCTAGTACCGTACAGCATCTTCTTTTCATTAATTTCTCATTTACACCTATGTTATAAGCACTATCTACAACACGAGCCGTACGATCGGGAAATTCACGCACTGCCAATCCGATTAGTATTCTCGAAAACCGTACGTTCAAACAGTGCGATGTATATAACGCGTACAATTCGAAGATGTTTTTCTTTACAGACATTTCGCACTGCAAAGCTTTGGTTTATCGCATATCGGCTATGGTCAGACTTTGCCAGCCGTACATTCTCGTCGACGAAATAAGACTCGTCACCCCGCCTAATCATTCGTTTCATTCCGCAGAGCTTGGCATCCGTCACAGTCGAGTGGCAAGCAGCGTCTGGCTGTGGCCATTGCGGCTGCAGCGGTAATGCGATTGATATCCTGCCATATGCCGATGATGTGGTAAAAGCATCACATACAACTACAGTTTCGTATACAAGAGGAAATCTCTAGACAAGTAGAAATTCGAAGATGACCATTCCTGGCAGTGGACAGTGCCAAGTGGCTTGTATGATCCCAACGCGATCCTGCCTTGTCCGTTGATGAAGCCTCCGTCGGAGTCATGCCGAAGTCGGTGTCTGTAGATCCGGAACAACAACAACAACAACGAACGGGATGTGGCAACAGCAGCAACAACATCAGGAAGAGTATGTTAATAGTAAATAAACCCAATCAGCACGCAATCGGAGAATTTGCCTCGCCTCTTGCCACTAGTTTTTTTTCAGCTTCATCCAAACTGCCAGCAAGACATAAGCAACGCGATAAAAGTACTATGTTACTACTATATAATTAAGACCATCGTGGAGATACAGCAGCAGAAAAATAGTAATAATGTCACAGCCATAACGACAGCGAGGATGAAACAGGAACGCAATACAGACACACTCGTCCAGCCAGAAGACAAGCATACAAATAATAATCTAACTTCCTGATTCTTTGTCAACTCCATGCAATGACCCTAAAAGTTTAAAGGTGGTTCTACTAAAATGACGATCAAAGTGTATGGGCAAATTTTGCACGCCTGCACGGATTACCGCCGCCGCAATTAATCAACTTCTTGTCTATGTATTGCGTACCGATTAACCTTTGTCAAATAGGTCGTCGATCCTGCTCGCTAAGCCAGTCCGCCGGTCAAGTTTAGCCATGTCTTGTGAAAGACATTATCAAAATTAGAAAAGGGATAACACATGTATAGCCATTTTCATCTTAAAAAATCGTTTTATCTCTTTAGTTCGAATACGTGACAACCAGGATTCCCTTCCGCGATAAGCACGGAACACGTAACGGTTGAGTTCTGAGTATATAAGCAACGGAAAACATGTTTTTTATAAGGGTTGCTTTCGTGAGACACATCGCCGCTCATCACATTGAAGTCTTCACATACTGTTCTCATTACATGTAGTTAGCTAAAGGGATCCTTAAAACCGCTATAAAATTTTCCGTTTCTTCGTGGTCAGTACGGCAGCGCAAAGGCTTTCGCCTCGCTTTACCGCATCTCACAACAAAGGGCAGAATCGCAAATCCCAGGCGCGGGTTAACGCGTCGTATCATCGAAATGACAGATTGTCGGGTTTGTCGCAAAAATCGTCACGCGTTTTCACTAGCTTAATTGCACTACAGAGATCTTGTTTTGTCTGGGGTCTCGATTCACAGTCCCAGTCTGGTTGCTGGCTGTGAATGAGTAGACATTTTTCTTCGAAATACAGTTCTTTGTGACCTGTGCGGTCTCAATCATCCGTTCAGTTCATTTTACCAGTGTTATGCCGTACTTTGCTTTCCAACGACCAGTCAATCGGTAGTCCTTGCTGAATTTTTTATGCTCTTTTGCTTTCTCATAGTCAACCGCATACGTTACATGAACAGCGATCGTCACGTTCGCAGATACCATAGTGGCTGAAGGCTACGTATTGGCAGTCAGTCCGCAGGGGCTGCTTAAGATCATGTGATGCTGCCTTCTCTTCAGTCAGTGCTGTGACCACCGCTTTCGCTAAGAAATTTCCGTTCTTTTTTGCTGCTACTTTCGACCGTAGTTTTAGATCGGAAGTAGTTGTTCGTCCTTTTTTTTTTATTACCTTTTCAGTGGCTTTCAAACCTAAGAATGACTCTTTGTTGTAAACACACGTAGACGCACAAACATTAGCTCGTTTGACTCGCCATGAGCAGGCGCCGCTTTCGTTGTTACCACTCAATTTGACCTTATCTAATTTTAAGTCCTAGGTTATATGACATTATTAGTGTTCAATGTTTATCAGCGGGACAGACAGCCAAACACGTATACGAGCAAAGTTTGTAATAGACGGAAACGAAAAAGGGGAGAACGTTCAAAATTCCGAAAAAAAATCTTTACTAGTAAGATTAATTGTTGAAAAGGTGCCTTGGTCAAGTCAACCTTATAACCGATTGCCTGTGAGGTGTCCCTTAAATGCTCCTCGGGCGGCGAAACGTGCCGGAGGCAAATCAATATATGCACATAGCCAGATTCTGGCTTCATACTTGGCCTAGGCCATAGTGCAACGCTAAAAGGGTTATAATCCTCTCACGCTAAAAGTTTGTTTCTGATTTCACACCATTGTAGCCAACAAACATAGACTGCCGATATGCGACAATGACAAAAAAAACAAACGCAAAATATTTGATGTTTATTTTAACATGTCAAACGTAAACGTCCCTGTGCATAAATCGCTCGTTTTCTTTATTTTCTGCCACTTTTTTCGGCCAGATTTACAGAAACAGTGCCCAATTTAACTAGAAAGTATTAGTCGAGTCTGAAATTGACCAAAGTGCGCGAAATTAGTATAATTCGATATTATCAAAGTTTGCGCATTTAAAAATGATCACCATTTCTATATTTCTCTGTAGCTCGGCTGTTCTGGTTTGTTTAAGATATCATATCGGCGTTAGATACACGATAGACACATCCTATAAGATAACTTAAGATGATTTCGTTTTCAGTTTTTTTTTTACATTTCAGCTGTAGCGTGCGCGCTAACGAGTTGAAACCTATCTTTTTGTTTAGATTTACGTTCCACTCATAAACGCTGCCACATTGACAAAAATCTCTTATTTTTATGACCATGAAGATATTGAAGCTAATATCGAATGTTGGCATATGCGACAAGTTAATGTAAGCTTACTAAAACGACAACGCTTACCGTTAAGACAAATATATGTAGCGTGAAAATAGCAAACGCTAGCGATATTTCATCTGCTTCGTTGTCTCAATTCAAAAACCAAACACACGATATTGCCAGCGTCTTTTATCGACGGCATTAACAAGGACCGTTATGTTATTGCAAAACGAATAATCAATAAACAATCGTATTATGTAATCTGGTACTTTTTAAAGTGTTAAAACGAGGCGGGCCAGAAATTGTAGTAGTTGTAGTCGATACGCACAAACTGTTGAGGGGATCTACTTATAACGTATATAACTGTAGTACCGACCAGGCGGTATCGTGCGTGGCATATAGTAAAACAGCCCCGAATTGTATGACACCATGTTGCCTAGCGTTCCCACATCTGCTTTAGCTTTTCTGCCCAGTGTTAAGCCAGAATGGTCCTAATATATCGCTAGCATTCTTTGCGTCTTAAATAGCCACCGCATCTTGGCCAAGATGCTCCGATCAATTGAATAAGATAGTGTATAATAACATAACCATCGGTATTTACCTCATTCAATAACTAGGCTCCCTTAATTTCTAAACGTAAGGTGCATAGACTTATAGGTGGTGCCTGTACCTATAACGTAAAACTGACAATCGGACAAGCAAAAAGCTGGCCTGGACCGAATTTACGTTGCGAGTCACACGAACGTTGTATACTGAAAAACCACATCACCGCCGCCGCCTGGAACGCTATCGGTCGAAACGAGAAGGCGCAGCGAAGAATCGAGAACAGCACACTGTTATTATCGCCATTGTCTATATACGCAGGAGTTCTTTAGCACCTTGCTTTTCGTCTAGGCTTGCCGTTGGCCAGCTTGAGGGTAGTGACATTTGCCTCGATCGAAGAAACTCGGATGTAGACGAGTTTTTTTTATTACTAGCGGCTCCTGTGGCAAATCGATAACAAAACAATACGCATATAATCCTATGATAGCTATGCTATGGAAACATGATAGGCTACGGCCAGGTACGATTTTCTCGTAATCTAATAGGCTGCCTCTTTTATAAATCCACGATCATGGAGATGGCTGCTGCTAGTTCGTAACCATTCCTTATTTTTGTTTCAACGTACGAACAGCCTTGAAAGGTGTTTTGCGGATGCATCTTACGTTTCTTTATGTCGCCCAACCACAGAGGCTATCTGCGTCGTACCCATATCGCCGCAGATCCTGAGGGAGCGAACAATTATTTTCCGGTGTAGACTTGCCACAATATCTATGGTACCGTGCGGTATTCACGTTATTTACAACATAACAACGCAGAACGTTCATCTACATATTCTCGTACAAAGACCCCGCTAAATGAATTCGTCCTCCATCAAGAACTGGATAATGATTTCACGTTTTCTTGCAGTTTTTTTTTACCGATAATTTCAAGTGAACAACCGAGGCGCTGTCGAAAATTAGTTTTAGCTGTTCTTATAACCATCACTAGGCCATCATGAGAACTACAATTAAAAGTTCGTAAAAATAAAGAAGTTCAAGTTACTAGCTTGGCTAAACGTTCCTTCTCTCCCTATTCCGCTATAGATCACCCTCTCCCCCTGCCAAAAATTCTTCCAGTGCTATGCAGAATCCTATGAGCAGTCAACAAACAGCCCATAGGTCTAGTTGCCGGCCTACGTATGACTGAGATTTATAAAATCCAACATAGTTTCAGACCTGCCTATTCTTTGCAGCGATTATAATATCTTACGTTTGGTGTTCCAGTTGTTCGCTTAAAGCTCTGCTGTCTTTCTTCATTTGTCCCCTGCAGCAGAATGAATTAGTGTTCTGATCTTATTATATCCGTTGATCAATCAATCATCGGATCAAGTCGCTAACAGCTTCCGCTGAACGCTAATATTGAAGTGACGATTAACACTATTATCATTACAATTTGGTACCGATGTAATAATGGTCACACGATAAGATATAATAATTATAATCATAATTGTCTCCTAATAATAAGAAGAGGTCTTCGTCGTCCCTGAGGATGCGTTTACTACCATCGCCAACTGCGTTTTAACAACCATGAAGTTGAATGGCTGTTGCGCCGCCCGATTTAAACCGTAGAACCACACACACTACTCCCCCCTCTCTCTCTCGCTCTAAAGAGCGCGAGTAAAAGCATTGACACATGGTGTGGCCACCCGACATCTTCGGCAGGACACAATGTGCACTAACTAAAAAAAACGAGGGTGGTTCATCATTAATCATCGTCACCGAACGAACTATTTGCGTGCGCAGGCATCTGGTATCGGGACAGGGAACATATCTATTTAGAGAAATGATGTACATACATGCACGTGGTGTATGTAATGCATCTAGGCGGATAGGCGTGATGTCAAGCCAATGGACAGGCGATTATGTATTTTGCTGGTAATGCTTTGATGCTAGCGATCCCGCCGTCGGTCGTTGCCGTAGCGTCGCCCCGCGTCCGGCCCGGTCTATCCTTAGAAAGTCAATGGCAGTACTGGGTTTGAGAATGAACGTAATTGCTTCTTTATTGCTTTCGCTTTTTAGATTCAATGATATACGCCGTTCTGTGATGCGACGCGATGAAAGCGATTCGCGGAGAAAACGTGCACGCGTTCTGTTAGCTCGAGTTGTTTCCTGTCTCGACTTAGCTTCGACGTTTTCTTCATTGGTTGGGCAGTTCCTGATCACCGCAGGCGGGCACGAAATTGGGTTTCAAATCGTTTGGTTGATTGTGATTAGCGGAACTTCAACCGCGATGTAATGAACAACGGGCTCCTTGACGTGAAAAAATTGAATCTCTAGATAATAGGCTGCCAGACGTTGCTGCCAGCCTATTATCTCAAGATTCGATTCGACTAGAGACGTTCACCCCCATATAAATGTTAGCAGGTGACGTAGAGCGACATGACGTGGCCACTTCGGACGGGGAAGAAGACAGGCATAGTTCAAATGTCCTAAAGCGGGAATAGGAAGGCCAACAAAAATGAAAATATCCAGCAGGAAGCCTACAGTGATTTACCGAGGAATAGTCATGCTACACATGCGTATGATGGTTTTGCCACTCAATTTTTGTATCGGAGTATTGCAGAATACTTTTAATGTTTTATATGAGACAGTATAATTCTAATAGTCATTGCTCAGCAGGTTGAAGGAGTTCAATGATCGTTTACAGACAGCAGTAATTAAAAAATATCGTACACAATACAAATAACAAGCACGGGCAAAAGTGGGATATCAAAGAAGGGGGCAAACAATACACCTAAAGTGGGAAGCATCCCGCCCTTAACGTAACGCAGCCAAATTATCAACTTAAAAAGAATTTACTTAATTCGTCTTGCAAGATCCACAGCGTCTTTACAAATTCGCCAGAACGAAAACAATTTGAAAATCGCAACAGGCGAAAGCCCTATAGTGTGTCACGCGATTGATTTCAAGCAGCGCGTACTTCAGCGTAACTCTAGATAGTGCCTTTTGCAAAATGGAAATTGTTTGCTATGGAGTCGCGAATCGTCATCTATACTGCGCATGCTAAAATTTTGCATAAGGTTCAGTAACCTCTGCAAATCGTGACACTGGACACACGAGTCTCAGACGCAGGCATCAGCTGGTGATCGACCAAATAACAGTCGTATCCGTAGCTAACGTTTCAATTGAAGGGCATTATGCTTCCGAAGACTGAAGAGGAGTTACTGTCATTAAATTGAATTTGCACCATTATCAAATAGTCATCATCGAAGAAGCGTTGGCTAACTAAGTAAACGTCAATATTTTCGAGAAACATTAAAACTGGCTACAAGGCTTGAGTCCATCTAGGACATGGTCGTGCTCTTTTTGTTGCCCGTAAATTGCTTTTGTGTACAGCCGCGCCGTTGCGTCCCAGCTGAGTGACCCAACTGTATCGCAATATGCGTAATATTCCATTGAAGCGGTCCTATGTGTGTGCTGAGGGCACCGTTTCAAGCGCCTGTCTCTGTGGAGCAACCCACACGTGACGCGATTTCGAAACATCATTGTTCAATAGGACTAGTTGCATTATTCTAACCGTTAATGCTACCTATAACCAACCATGCACCTGATTTTTTTTCCAATTTGAAATATTGGTTACAATAAATTAATATGAGAGTAGCAAAAGGCTTAGAGATGCAATTATGACATCCTTCGTAGAAGTCGCGCAGTTTCTTAGTCGATCCACATCCGTCTGCGAGATCAAATCTGTAAAGAAGAGCTCAATACACTCGCGTACATACGTGCAATAACGTAACACATATCCATCCGCTAATATATAGATAAAATCGAGGAAGTTTGCATAAAAAAAGGGGCTAAAACCAAAGCAAGTTCCAGGCAGCTGCAAGCAAACAAGCTTCTGAGGAATCTTCTGGTGCTGTTTTTCTCATCGCCATTGTTATAACTGCGAGCTTGTGAACTAGTGCCCGTATCCGCCGCACGTCTACGTCCCATCGCCATTCATGGCTGCGGCAGCAGTGTCGCTAACGCTTTTAAGTTCCATCACTGACAGAGAAGTTGATTCTGCTCTTTCCTGCGTCTTCCTCGCCTCTCACTTATAGGGTTGCCAGCGCGCAAGGTCATTTCGACGGCCATCTTCGCCTTTATTTTTAATTACCCTTTGAGACAACATCGGCTGCGGCTGCGTGTAGTACTGTCAGGCCATGCAGCCATTGTGCTAACCAGATACGAGACGATTATAAATTCTACAAAGGCTTAATCGCCAACAAAAAGTTCTATTGGGACTTCTCTAGTAACACAGACATGTGGATACGCATATTTAAATATAAGTATATCTGTGTTCTATGTATGGCTGGAATGAACAGTGATTCAGTTCTGGACAATGGCCCATGATGACGACAATTGCTGCGATGGTCAGTAGTCTTTTAACTCATGAATGGGTACACGATTAGAACGAGTCACATAATCACGAAATACGAAAAGGAGACGAAACGAGTGGTAGAGATGGGATAAGTGACTGGGTTTCAGGAGATTTAAAGAAATATGTACATATAACATTATGTACGGGCAATAAGAGACGTGTCTTCTAAGGTCGCTTTAGCTTTGCTTCTCTTTGCGATCGTCGTGATGAAGGGCTTTTTTAAGCTTTGTTTTCTGTCGTTCTTGTCGTTGTTATTGTTTCATCACAGTCTTTGCCATACATCGGTATGAACAGAATGGCTGGATCATACATTATTAACGGCGGTGATTCCATTTATACAGTCGAGCGGGGGAAGGCGAGAGGGGGGTGATCGGTAATATAGAGGGAGGTACAATGAATCGTCATATAGTATATGTCAGCAACAACGCCTTTGGTACCATGTCATGTCCCTCTATGTTTAAGGTGTCGTCTGATGGCCGGTATAGTAGGAAGGCGTTGAAAATTCCCTTCTTGCATGTAACAGAACAACACATTTTTCTATAAATGAATGCTAGCTATATCTTTGCCTTGCTAGAAGAACAAGTGTCCGTACAAGATCATGTAGCGATGTTAATGTCTGTTGTTGTTTATTAGCTGACTTGTCGTTTGTTGTTGGGTTAGTGATATGGATCGGGTCAATGTAAACACACGCACTAAGGGTAAAAAAAAAGATCAAGTGTTCTATGGGAAAGGTCGATTGGAAACTTACGCTCTTCGTTATTTCTGTCGTCTGCATACGCGCGCCACGTAGGGAACGTGTATGTATACACTATTAAATCTAATTTCCTGCCGACGTTTAGTATATTATCATCTAAATTCATCCAGTGAAAGATTAAGTTACAAAATTTAGATAAATAAAAAGCTTTGCCTTCCTAGAGGCCAAACTTTGCGGTACCATTCAAACTTTTAGCACACATGGCTTTAAAATAGCTTTTAATATACCGAATCGTTTCATAGATTACTTCGATACGCGTACTCAGGGCAACTATTAAAATTCGGTGTTATTGAAGCCGGGCTACGCAAACTGAGACATTCTGCTTTTTATTACGGGCTACCTTGTACCGGTGGTTTTGGCCCTTGCCTCCTCAAGCCATCCATACCTTTGGTATATATTGAGGTTTACTGCCGCGTAATAACTGTTATTGCTTGGTATCGATGCTGTTTGTATACATGCATAGCTGTTTAAAAAACATCAATCGATCATCAATAATTGAGATCAGAATAGAACTTCAAAGGAATATAGTGCTCGCTTCTATCCAGGTTGTAACAGGATCGTCCACGTAAACGGATACGAAAAAATGACGTCAAAGAACTAAAAAAAAAAAATAATATTATTATACAAAAGA